ACAAATTCGATACAGTAAAGTAGCCGTTATTTAATAGGTAAAGAAACGTGTATGAGTGTGTAAAATAAACATTAACAAATTCGATATAGTAATATAGCCGCCCTTTAAAACATTTTAACATAAAATATATAGGTGTAAACGAAAGTATGTAATATAAATGATGTATAGTGTATAGTGTAAATAAAATGTAGATTACATTCAAGCGCGCGCCAACTAGGAACCCGCTCAGATTGACGTCACTGCAAGCTGTACCAACCACGAAACAAACATACACCGCAGAAATTACACATAGAAAACCAAACAAAACATCAAAAGGTCCACAACATAAGTACAACTTAATTACTATTACCGTGATGTAAACAAAGTGCAAGGTATATAGCAAGTTCAACAGAAAAACAATTTTAAAAGGGTAAATTTTGATAAGGAAGTATTTATTGATACCCTCAATAATCAAACCGGGCCGTCTCCAAAAAATATTTTTCTAATATCGGCTTCCGAACGAACGCGAAGAGCGGATACGCCGTCCTCCTTCCGCACGTATATGCGTCCCTCTTTGGTCCACACATACTTGAATTTTTGACGCTGCGCAGCCTCACGAGTGGTACGAAAGAGCCTTGCGTTAGAGCGAGTCAGACTCTCGTTAACGTAGACCCCCCGCGGCTGGCCGGGCAGATCGAGGTCTGCAGTGGTGAGCCCGCGGCGCACACGCGCCGCGCGAATCAGTTGCTCCCGGACCGCACGGCGAGACAGGCGCACGGCAATGACGCGTGGTCGCGGTCGCTCCGTTATGTCACCTTGGGATGCAGTCGTGACAAAGTTGCGCCGCACCATGCCAAGACGCTCGACGTTCACGATATCCCTATCGTCGAGAGCAATCCCCAGCTTCAGAGACACTGTTTTTATTAAATGTGCCGGGTTCTCGGTCTTCGATTCAGGAATGCCTGACACGATAACATCGTTGAGCAGCAGGTCCTGGTCGCGCTCGTTTAACTGGAGTTTCAGGTCAGCTATCGTCTCCTCTAGGTGGTCGTAGGATGACGGGTCCCTAGCCTCAAAGCGCTGCTCGAGGTTGGTCACCCTGTGCTCCACTTCGTCCATGCGCTCGTTGCAGCCCCCAATGGCAGCCCTGAAGTCAGCAGTCTCCTGCCGCATATCGCGTATCTCTGCTCGGAGCGCACTCAACTCCTCCCTGAAAGACCGTATCTCTCGTGCCAGATCCAGACTCGCAGTGGTGTCGGTGGGCGGACTATTTGTCTCCGTGAAGTCAGCTGCTGCACTCTTCACTGGGGTTGCGGAATTGTCGGTCTTAGGCAATTTCGCCTTGCAGCCGGGACACAGCCAACCAGGCGCGGGGGTGGCCGCGGCTGGTACACCCACACAGGCTCGGTGATAGCAGCCCGTGCACTTGCTGCACCGGATGCCAGCTGACGCCGCAATGAACTGTCCACATCCACCACATTTAGCCATTACTCACAATTATTCACACTCGATTATTATTTTGTTATTGATAATATTAGTAAGGATGTCGACAGATAATAAAACTTTTTCCTATTGTGACTTTTTATCTTGGAGCCATGAATCTGGAAGCAAGAGACTTTCAAACAGCATATCTGCAAGTCATTGAGATAAGCCTATGCTCAGCAGAAGATGTCTTATGGTAACATAATACTATGATGATTATGTTGATGTTAGCTTATATCTAACTAGCGACCCGCCCCGGCTTCGCACGGGTGCAATATTATGCATGTATTATAAATTTAAACCTTCCTTAAGAATCACTCTATCTATTAAAAAAATCCGCATCAAAATCTGTTGCGTACTTTTAAGGATCTAAGCATACATAGGGACAGACAGGCGGCGGATAGCGACTTTGTTTTATACTATGTAGTGATTCTAATATGTTCTAGAAACATGAACATTGAACAGTCCCTATTTATTAGAAATTTCTACTGCCCGGCCTTTAGTTTATTATTGCCGATTTCAATAAACGATGTCAATTCAAAAATTTTCGATTAAGGTCGACTTTTGACAATAGTTCTGTACAGTTTCAGTCAAAAATTGATATCGATCCACAGTTTTAAGATTAGATCAGTTATTAAAATAAGCAGTTAGTCGATGTATACTGTTTTTTTATTAATAATAAATTGTATTTCTCCACGGACTTGTGACCGTGCCCTTGTCACATAATTAGTTAGTTACATTTGTTACAAAGATCTTACACGCTATGCTAACCACTAATATCACTAAATTAAACTGTCAAACACCAAGCGGTCACCGGTGACCGCAACCTATTGTTCTTTAATTGTGTCTATAAATACGGTACTCGACGAGTTAACTAAAATCGCGGGCTACTCACGTCAATATACTGAGAAAAGCTCTACTAGTTTCGAACCATAGAGGGGTTCTTCGTTATGAGCAGCGTGTGCGGTCGCGGCGATGTCGCGCAGCTCACTGGCCGGCGACTCGCTCATATTTACGTGAGTAACCCGCGATTTTAGTTAATTTAGTATGTCTCACGATAGTTATTATAAAAACTAATATCACTATACAAAGTACTTGAAGTACCTATATAATTTAATCTTATTATCTTACACTAACCCTACTGCATCAGCCCACTAGCACGATGAGCAAGCCGACCTGCTTCAGCAGAGAGCACCCGTTCACAGGTATGACGTGTAGGCCAGCAATCGGTCCGATCAACCATTTCGTAGGGAACGGAGCGACCCAGCCCACAGCGCCACCTACTGTAGAACATACGAATGCACGACGTTACTGCCCACGCGGCAGTAAGCCAATCCCAGTAGAGCTAATGGATTTTTAATTAATTACATTATTAATAGGTGTAAAATTTTTAGCCACAATCAAAACATGTACACGACAACTATTCGTTGGATTGGTGATAATATTGTATCTATGGTGACTGCCTCGCTGGCCGAGTGGTCGCAAGTGCGACTGCCGGGCAGGGGGTCTCGGGTTCGATTCCCGGGTCGGGCAAAGTATTACTGGGTTTTTAAAAAATTCTCAGTAGTAGCACGGAGTCTGGAATAGTGCTCGGTATATGGCAATAGGCTCACCCCCTATTACATGGGACTCATAACATAAATAGTGAAAAGTGGGTGTTACATTGTACAGTGGTATAATGTGCACCTCTGCCTACCCCTTCGGGGATAAAAGGCGTGATGTTATGTTATGCTATGTTGTTCTATTGTACCACTACTTCACGGTACACAATGTGTCGAATTCCTATTAATAATACCTTCTACCAGAATTCGTGGCTTAATTATAAAACAATGTAAGTATTTCATCAACGGACCGCAAAACTTTGTTGTTGATAGAATGTCCCAGGTTTAACCCAAAATACATATAGAACTTAAATAAAATGTTTAATTTATACCCGTTTAGTTAATTTTATTGGCTTCATCCTGAACAAATATGTATTTCTTTTTCATGTTCATATATTTCAACGTATAACATATAAGCTACATTAAAATTTAAACTTTATTGCTTTGGTATAGAGTTAGAATTCGGTTGAAAGTGCTAGACATTTTAGGATACTTTGATGCGCTGGTGTTTTTGTACCTACATACCTATTCTATTTTCTGCGAACGGTTTGATTTCAAATAAACAGAGATATACATTTATGTATTAATTCTGTTTTCGGCATTTATTTATTTGTATGTATATCTATTAATAGTTAGGACGTTGTCTATCGTTTTAGGTATTCATCGTCATCTTTGAACGTTGAAATCATTTTGAACAGATGCATTTTGTCTGTTTGTGTATAGTAGGGTTGATCTTGGTCTAGTGACCAAGGAAGCCAATAATTGATGAAACTAGCGACCACTAAGTCGCAAGTGCGACTGCCGGGCAAGGAGTCTCGGGTTCGATTCCCGGGTCGGGGAAAGTATTACTGGGTTTTTAAAAGAAATCTCAGTAGTAGCACGGAGTCTGGAAATGTGCCCGGTATATGGCAATAGGCTCACCCCCTATTACATGGGACTCATAACATAAATAGTGAAAAGTGGGTGTTACACTGTACAGTGGCACCTCTGTCTACTTCTTCGGGGATAAAAGGCGTGATGTTATGATGATGATCTCCAAATAAAACTGCTAAGCTGAAACTGAATTTTTATGTTTTATTTTTATTTTTTTTTTACCTTTCACTGATATTATTATTTTTAAAATAACTAGTTTAAGGGTTTCTTGATTTGTATCAATAGGACTGACATGTCCTCAGATAAAAATTCTGTAAATAAATAAAGATCAATAAAATATATTTATGTTGTGTGTGAAGAAAGTCAAAGTTAAAGTTAAAATCATTTATTTCAATTAGACCAGGAAGGCACTTTTGAACGTCAAAACAAAATATTGAAATATTAAAAAAATCAGTTTATCAGTCAGTCCTCTATTGAAGCTATTTGCTCGTTCCAAAGTGTAGATTCCTATGGAGAAGAACAAGCAAGAAACTCCATACATAAGAATAAATTTTACAATACAAGAACACAAACAAAACAGCGCTCGTAAAAAGCACTTACACTTTAATGTCTGAATTCTAAAACTCAAAATGCTAAAACATTTTACCTTTTATTTCTTATTTTCTAAAGCCTTTTAATTAGACTTTCCCTAACAAGATTAGGGTCACCGCCATCTTGTTAAGTCTAAGTAAAATTTTGCTAAAAGTCTAAACTTTATAGCTAAATACATCTAGACTTAAAGACCAAGCAAAACATAAAAATACCACAGCATTGGTAATTTAAAAAATTAAAAGTCAGTCACTGTCGATTCTTATTATTCTAAAACCAAAAAAAGGAAAGTCGTGGACATCCAAATAAAAAAGCCACATATTCAAGCATTATATTTGAGTACAATTCTAAACCATAGCTTCTACTAAATTAATTCTGATATCAAAACTCCAACCGTAAACTAAAAATCTCTCATTTTAAAAACATCACATCATTTCATCACCGCGATTACAAATACCCAAAAACATCAGAACATTCTCAAGCATAAACACATTGATAGATCTGGTCTCTCAATGCTGCCACAGCTTCCTCTGTATGCCTTCGTCCTCTTGAAGTGCAGGAGGTCAGTCTTTCACAGGACTGTTCATTATGTCTTCTAGCATTCGTCAAGCTAAGATCCAACTCGTATCCCAAGACCACTGCGGCTCTTGACAGTTCTTCAAGACAGGATGATACGTCAGACCTGTATAAAGAAGGTTTATCATCATCATCATCATATCAGCAAAAAGACGTCCAAACCTGAATATTTTTTAAAACAGATAATTTTCTTTTTAAACCACGACGGTGGCAAAAAAGCACACGGCCCACTTGATAGTAAGCGGTTACCGTGGCCTATGTACGCCTGCAACACTTGGGAAATTACATGCGTCTACTGACCCTTAAGAAACCTCTTCATTTCCCTCTTGAAGAGGGGAACTTGCACCACCAGACATAGGGCAATGTACAGCAGTGTCCTTTAAAGTTTTGGTAACTCAACTGCAATTGTCATGTCAATAATGAAGTTAAGTTAAAAGGAAGATATGCAGGTCACAGACAGGTTTGTTGGATACCAATCACAGGTTTAGGACGTACCCAGATGTTTGTTACACCTGGATAAGTCCGATGCTACGATGAGCAGAAAAAAAAACATTACGATCTTACTTCTGAAGTGAACCACTTCTTTGAGCTGCAGCCGCTTCCCGATTTCCACCAGGGATTTCAAAAGCCCTAGTAGCCTCCAGAAGTGTTGCTTGCATATGGTTCCTGGTGATCCCTATCATTTCTTCAGCATATTTCCCCATCTTTGCGATTGAAGCTCGTGCATCTTCAGTGCATGCGTATATGGTGGATACATGTCTGTTTGCCAGGGTGCGAGCTGCCCGTCTTTCTTCTTCACACATACCTGTTAAAGAGACAGGTTTAGTGTTCAAAATAAACCTTATTTTAGCCACATAAAGTTGAACATTAGAAAATTTAATATGGATTTCTAAATCTAATCCAAAATGTAAGCATTTATGACAGGTAACATTTACGTAAAATGTGAAAGGCAAGATTGCAAATATGTCTGTCACTTTTCAAGTAAGTACTTATCATGAATAGATTAAAGTAAATTTTGGAATAGCAAAATTCAAAATTTTATAAGCTTCATTTGTCACAACTTTATATACATACACACTCGAAAAGATAATTGAACCGTTTTAAAGAAGTATAAATTCAAACAATTATCTTATTTAAATTATGTAACCACAGGGAGATCAAAAATAGTCTAGATAATACCTTTTACAAAATGAAAAGATGAACCCCAAAGACCCATCCAAAAGCGGAACCCGGATCAATAAATAACAATTTAACGACCTAACTAATACAATTTGAAAACGGCAAAACGGTATATGAATATCGTATGAAGAATAATGGAAGAATTAATTCCGAAAACAGCCCGTGGACGTATCATGCAAGCGAGGGCAATTAAATTTGCATCGAAGTCCATAATAAATTTAACATCAGACCGGCTCGATATTACTTTGCTCATAATATTGGAATAAATTGAACGCCATAGCCATTGCAAATCGTATGACTTGCCGCGTTGCATGTCCACGTTGCTATTATACATTTTGAAAGTATTTTTATTATGTGTGAAACTGACTTTTGAGTTGTAATGATGCAGTGATGTGTTATGCTAAATTTGAGTCCTAATTGTGGGAAGTTCATTCGAATCTCTTCTTTGCTTTTCCTTAAAGTTACTAGGAACTAAAAAATGATTTGACTGCACGGTTGGAGCGGTGGCTGGGCAACTGGCTGCCGCGCAACGTGTCGCGGGTTCGATTCCCGCACGGAACAACTCTTTGTCTGATCCACAAATTGTTGTTTCAGGTCTAGGTGTCATGTGTATGTGAACTTGTATATTTGTAAACGCACCCACGATACAGGAGAATCCTAGTGCGGGGCAAGGTTTTTTTTTAAAAAAAAATGCAAAGAAATGCTTCTATAAACCCGAACTAAAAATTAAGTGTTTTCTGTCACACTAGAGGCACACACACGACCCACTAAAGATACCAATAACTTCTTAACCTGTTGTTGGCTCAGTGATCACATAGTAATACATTATTAGAAATTTTATAGTGATGATCATACTTGGTACTTTCAAGTCATCAGCCAACTGCGTCAGCTCAGAAAAAATCTGCTGCTTCCTCTGAACGGCTGCGTTGATCTCATCCTTGATCCTTCTCAATATCTTTCCTGTTAACTGCTGATATGAATTTTGAATGTTCCGGTGATATGTGTCCAGAAATGGGGCTAGTACTGTGTCCATATATCTTGATATTTCACTGAAGAAAAAGTGTTTTAGTAAAGTAATTCGTTAGTCAGACTTTTTAAAGTTTAATAAACTATTTGGTTAGTCATCATCAACAGCCTATAAATGCCCACTGCTGAGCAAAGCCTCTTCTCACACGGAGCAGGTTTGAGCATTAATCACCACGCTTGCTCAATGCGGGTTGGCGATTACAAACTTATAATTAGAAATTATAAGCCCAGGTTTCCTCACGATGTTTTCCTTCGCCGTTTGTCAGTGGTGTCTGAATAATCTGAGAAAGTACATATAACTCGGAAAAAGTCACATTGGTACTTGCCGTTGGTAGGTTTCGAACCCGCACCCTCATGCATGAGAAGCGGGCGTCTTAAACCTCCGGGCCACCACGACATATTTGGTTAGTAAGTTGTAAAAATCGTATGGTGCAATTACTACCAGAGTCACCATCAGCATTAGCGTCAGAGTGTTTTTACCAATTAGAAGTTCTTGGTCCTGAATCTCTTGTAAGTACTGAGAATTTTGTATAGATTAATAAAATTTTAACTTACCTAATAATTAATGCCCTATTCTGTATTTATGTAGTCTGTAAAAATAAATAAATAGTTACCTGTTCGCCAAAGCCAATTGCGATCTCAACTGCCGCCGTGAATCACTGGAGTTCCCCAACCTCTCCCTAAGGCTGACCAGGTGGTCTTCCAGCACCACTGGCTGGTGCTGCCATGGAGGAATCTCGAAACAAAGTCCTCCATCTTGACGGAGGTGGTTACTGCGGTACTGGAAGATAAGAATTTTAATATTAACACATTCACTGCGGCAGCGTTAAATCTAAACTTTCTACTAGTGCGATACGAGACAAATGCTGCCCGTATCTATGTTTCCTGATATGCGTTACGGCTTCTATTGTGCCGTACCAGACCCTGACTTTCAAAGCCTATACAGACGTGGACACCGCCTATATCAATGGTTTTTATCAACAAATCGATAGACTATATCCTTGTATGTACCTAGCTGCAGTCGCCCTGATTCTCTGTTATACTTTGAAGGATACAGAGATTTTTCAAAATCTCCAAAAAGCGCAAGGGAACTTAGATAAATCGCCTCCGCACAGTACGCAAAACAAGGACAACGAGCTACCGCACTGGCTGAGAATCAAATACGGCCAAATACTTGCCGTAACGCAGTGAATGTGTTAAGTTGTTCTTAAATGTAAATATCACAATACTTCCACATTCACAGAACAGAGAGACAAATGGACACCAATCACCTGATGAGAAACATTCAGCGCCACCTATAGACATTCGCAACACCAGAGGAACTGCAAATGATTTATCGGCCTTTTGAGGGAAGGAATAAGAGATTTAAGACAAGGATAAAGATTCTCAGTAGTAACACGGAGTCTGGAAATGTGCCCGGTATATGGCAATAGGATCACCCCCTAATACATGGGACTCAAAACATAAATAGTGAAAAATGGGTGTTACATTGTACAGTGGCATTAAGTGCCGGAGTGTGCACCTCTGCCTACCCCTTCGGGGATAAAAAGGCGTGATGTTATGTTATAAAGATTATTTATTTATTAACAAAAGCATATGTTCTTTTTTATTCATACTTGACCATCGATGTGACGAACAAACTGTATAGATACAAAATTATTGCGCTACTCTCATTTCCCTGACCCGACAGAAGATTGACGGCATGCAGGGTGGATTAGGAATTCAAAAATTCTAACTTACTTTTGATAGACATTAAGGTTAATAAACAGTGATAGACGTAAAACTTGCCACACCATACAAATACTTCATGATATTTATATTAATACTGCCTCATTGGCCGACTGGTCGCAAGTGCGACTGCCCGGCGAGGGGTTTCGGGTTTAATTCCTAGGCCGGGCAAAGTATAACTAGGTTTTTTTAGAAATCTCATTAATAGGACGGAGTCTGGAAATGTGGCCGGTATATGGCAAAAAGCTCACCCCTTGTTACATGGGACTCATAACACAAATATTAGTGAAAAGTGGGTGTTACATCGTAGGTACAGTGGCATTAAGTAATATGCATTCTGCTTACCCCTTCGGGGATAAAAGGCGTCATGGTATGTTACGTGTATTTATATTAATACTCTGAACTCACCCGACAACTAACAACAGGTTCAGCAGCGAAACTGGTACCGAGATATAAGCACAAAACAATAAATACAAAAGGATACATTACTTCGTTTGTTTTTCCAATCGACTTAACATAAAGAGTTTAGGTACTAACTTTTATGACTGAATTACAATTATAAGCTCCACTGAGCCGTGAAGATTAAATGGATACTATTTTATTTCTGTCACGAGTACTGCCTTTGTGTTTCTTGGTTATTTTTCTCTGTAAGAATAAGTAAGAATCTATATATTTGGTAAATAGGGGAGAAAATCATCCAATACCTTCTCCCGCCTGAGTGAGGCGAGAGGGAGTGTTAGACTCCTACTGACTAAAAACCGCCCCGTTACGCTAGACCAGACTTCTAAAAGTATCTTTATGGAGTACTTGTACAATGTTATTTATACTTTTGCTAGACTAAAGTACTAATAAGTTGTTAAAAGAATAGAACTAGAAGTTAGTTGTGTCCTCTGATCAGACAAAAGATTACTTAGTTTTACTTAATATATACATAATCGCGTGACTAAGATCCATCCGTGTGTCACTGCAGGGATTTTTTTATATATATTTGATGGGCCGACGTTTGACCACTATCTCGTCTGGTGGTAAGCGATGATACAATCTGCAATGGAGCACGTCGTCCCATGAGCAACCTATTCACTCGGGCCTTTAAGACATCCTGTAAGACACCCATCAGGTAATACAGTCTCTGGCAAAGAATTAATGCCCAAAAATAAGTGTTAGTGTTAGGTGGCTCGTGTGCCAAGCTTACACTGAGTGGGTAACCCATTTAGCATAGGCATGTTGTTATCTTTTCTTTTCTGATTCATCTTTTTCTTACTTTCACTACCAAACTATCTTTTTTGTTTTTTTTTTTATATTTTACTAGCTCGCGACTTTGTACACCCAATCACGTTTTTCCCGTTCCCGATCTTGACATTCGGTAAAAAGTAAAAAAAAATTGAAGAAAAACTATTCTATCACCGTCTCCTGGTTGTAAGCTACCTCATCACCTATTTTGATCCAAATTGCTTTATATAAAAGTTTGATTTATCGAACAGTGTAACTATTACTACGACTTTCTTTTATAATATAATAGATTTATGCTGCATCGTGATTGGTGCTGAATAAATAATTTTAACGGGCAAAGTATTACTAGGTTTTTAAAAATCTCAGTAGTACCACGGAGTCTGGAAATGTGCCCGGTATGTGGCAATTGGTTCACGCACTATTACATGGGCCTCATAACATAAATAGTGAAAAGTGGGTGTTATATTGTACAGTGGCATTAAGTGCCGTAATGTGTACAAGGTGTGATGTTATGTAAATATTTTTCATTCTTTCTTCGATAAGTGTCAGTGTCAGTGTAAGCTTCCATTTTCGTTAGTATTAGCCTCGGTTTTCTAACATTAACCCAAATAGATTTACTTAAACACTAGATCTTCATCCAATACAGATATTCACTTAAATAAAATCCAGTATTAATATCTCTTTCACTAATACTAATGCCCATAACTCGATTATATTGCTACCTAACTGAATTTCACTCGCTGAAACTTGACTTTTACAGTATTTTTTCAAGAATTATTGAAATAGTATTGCTGTATAATGTTACCTGATTAAAAATGTAAATGTTTAGTTTTTATTTTAATCTACTTTTTTATTATAATCTCATGCGACATAAATGAATTGCATTTTACCTATAATTAAGATACATCTATATTATGAATTTTGAAACTCCCAAATTTCGTCTATTCTGTCATTACTAGCTTCTGCCTGCGGGTTTGCCCGCAATCCCGTGGGATAAAAATAGTCTATGTATAGAAAGAAAGAAAGAAAGAAAAATTTATTTGTCAGAATGTAGTTACAATCGGTGTTTTATCTTAATTAATGTGTCATACATTCTACCGAATCGGTGTACAAATATTACTCTTATTTTCTACTTATATATTTATGTACTATTCCACAACAATGTTTTTGCAATATTCGTCATCGAGAAAATCTTGTAATAAATAAATATAAATTTTGTAATAAAAAATATAGCTTATGTAAGTAGTATATCGTCGTGTGCGTCAGTAGTTTATTCCCCAATCTTCCCAATCCCAAAACCCAACGAGTCTCAAACTCCTAATCCTCAAAAGGCCGGTGAAGAAATCACATTATAGAGGTATACACCAGAAACCATAAACTAAGTATCCGTGATATTAATAAGAATATTCTATAAATTCTCAGTAGAAGAAAATTTAATAAAAAACTTCACATTGTTTGCTTAGTACACCTAGCGCTTTATCTTAATATTAAAGCTTCTAATTAGGTTTCTACTAATTAAAAATCAATATCAGATAGTCTGTTAACACAAAAGGATCATGAAAAACGATCAAGACTTATACAAAGTTTAAATCTCAAGAATAAATTCAAGTATTTCTTCATCTTAGTTACCGAGTTTTAAAATCTGTTCAATGGAGAAAAGAATTCAATTTAAATTACTCCAGTAAAAACTCTCAAGAGATGAGATCCTAATAGAATTTGATTCTCCATGCGTGGTGAAGAAGTTAGTAAGTCACTTGAGATTTTGCGTTTGACTTGCCAAGCTCGGGGATTATGGCAAATCACCTTTTAAGAGGAAGGACGTATTCTAGACGGTTATTAATAAAATTATCAGTAACTGGCTACGCCCTGTCACCCGCCATTTGGGTATAACCAACGCATGTTTTATAGCCTTCCTTGATAAAAATAGACTATCAATCACAAAAAGAATAATTGAATACGAATCAGTAATTCCCGATATTAACGTGGTCAAATAAACAGACAAATAAACTTTATAACGTTATTATATTAAGTATAGATATCACACAATCTAATTAATATCACACATAGCTACTGGAATTTAATATCACAAACTATTGTATGCCTAACATGGTGGACCAGTGCATGAACAAGAAAAATAGCTTCATTTTTTTTTGTTGACTTTCAAAAATGCCATTCTGGCCTAATTGAAATAAATGAATTTGACTTTGACTTTGACTTTGACTTTGACTTTGAACACAACCACCTTTGTAACCACTGTCTCACAATAAAGATCTTTGACTTTGACTACATGTTGCATCTAAGTATTCTCCATTTATATTTAAAAAATAAAATAAAATACATTATAATAACGTCTACCGCCTTTAAGGTCCAACCAAACCCATTAAAAGCATTATAGTTTCGCTTACAAATTTATTAGGGGACCCCCTATTAATAACAAAGGTGACCCTAACGGATTAGCCGGACCCTTACGTATATTTGTCTTAATTTTCGAAAATCTTACATATTGGGACCAAGCTGGAAGGGTGCGTAACTGTAAAAAGGATAGCTGTTGTTTTATTATGGGAAATACTAGCTGTACCCGCAACTTCGTCTGCGTTTCTCCAAAATAAAAGTAACCTACTCCTTAGTATATTGGTACCTATCAATAGAATTCCCGTCAAATTCGGTCCAGCCGTTTCAGAGATTAGCCAGTATAGACAAAACAGACAGACAGACAAAATGTAAAAATTGTATGTATCGAATGTACCTATATTCATATGCATGTGGTAAAAAGCGGTTATTTCAATATTACAAACGGACACTCCAATTTTATTTATCTGTATGATAATATAACTTTTAACTACGGCGTTTTTCGCTTATTTTTAAACTATTTCCAAGAAGATTTCAACTTCTTCTTTTTGCATCCCAAAATTCACTCAGGAAAATTCATTTTAACATACTTATTAAGTCCCTTTACATCCATCCACACATACATAACTTCACGCTTATCTCCCATGGGGGTAGACAGAGACTATGGAACGCCAATTTCTACGATTCCTACATACCTCTTTCGCTTTATCAGCAGTCATATTTTCAAGCATGCTCGTCGGTTAAGGGTACTTTTAATTTAGCCCTTCTTTAATATATCGCCAATCTTCTTTACTAATTCTTTCTTTACCAATATTCTTTACATCCATACTAAACAAATAAATATAAAGGTTCTCCCTCACCGGGAGTATTTGCTTGTAATGTAACCTTACAGATCTGAGCATTACATCAAGTGGAGAACCGAGCATTACAATGCGCACCTTGTAATGATACAATGTGTAATATCTTGATACAACTTGTAACATCAATGTTTGACATCTTGCTATGAAATGTCAAAGTCGAATCAATATGTTACATTACATGCAAATGCTCGTTAGTCAGGGAGGTATTATTGTAATGTAATGCTTAAAGTCGAATCTATAATGTTACATTACACGTGTATGCTTTCGGTAAAGGAAGCACCTTTATACCAGTAAAAACTATCAAACATCACAAACCAAAACACTTATAATGTACAGACGAATATATACTCTATTACTAAACACATACAGACAAGTACCAATTAAAACGAATCTTTTGTTTTCCACATTTTCTTGTTACTAAAAGTATTTCTTAACTGAAACATTGCTAGAAGAGGTTTGAGCGCACAATGTACGACCAAAACGCAATGAAAATATTTTCTCTACCTTAAAATTCCTTAGAATTCCCACACTAAAGTATTTGTATGAAAGAAAATTATACTCTATGCAAATGATGGAAGGAATATTTTACATTGCGATGTATTTCAATGTTTTGCATTGAGTGTGGAAACGGTATGAGGTATGGCACCATACACTTGATATAATGTTTCTCAGACAATTATAACTTTTAACATAAGATATTTGCCAGAATCTTTATTTGTGCTATTTTTTCTGATGCATTCAAAAATATGTAATTGTTTAATTTAATATTAATAAGTAGACATAATTTAAATCGAGATAATCACATCCAACCAACTGCTGTTCATCACTACATAATATAAAACAAAGTCGCTATCCGCCGTCTGTCTGTCCCTATGTATGCTTAGATCTTTAAAACTACGCAACGGATTTTGATGCGGTTTTTTAAATATATAGAGTGATTCAGGAAGGTTTATATGTATATATATTACATACATATTGCACCCGTGCGAAGCAGGGGCGGGTCGCTAGTATGTAACAAATAACGTGCTGTTTTTTATATGAAAACTC